TTTGTTTCTTTCTTTTTGTTTCTACGGAGTGGACTGCTTTACGTACATAGGTATGTATGTATTACGTAGGCTGGATTCTAGATGTGATCTGTTCGTTGCTTTAGTTTTGGTGCTGGTGCTGGTGCTGGTGCTGGTGCTGGTGTTGGTGTTGGTGTTGGTCTTGGTGTTGGTCTTTCCTTTTCGTCCAGCTGGGGGACTGGAAGACTGGAGATTGGAAGACTGGTTATACCTACGTGGTTAGTTAGGTGGGTGGTTCTCTAGCTAGGTGATTAGTTCGTTAGCTGGGGACGAAAAGACCTCATCAGAGCCGGTATGCCGTTTGGAGCCGCGGGTGGTTGGTTTGGTTACTCGCACCAATTTTTTTTTTTTTTTTTTTTTTAACCAAGAAAATTGACTGTTGTTTTCTGACTCCTCGCTGCCTCTTTTTTTTTTTCTTTTTGCTCTCTGAAACGTTGAGGTTGGAATTCTGGAGATTATTCTGGCTTGATTTTCCCGGTTTGGTTGAGATCTTCTTCAAAGAAGGAGTGATAAGGGAGAGAGGGAGAGAACTTGAGCGGCTGGAAAGCGAGAGCAGAACAGCAAGGTCGTGAATAGATAGATCCCTTGACAATGGTAAGCCGCTACAATCCCTTCTTTTTTTACATATCTCTTTGTCATTAAGGTTGTGCTTTTCTTCCTGGTTATTCTTCTTTCTTCTTTATCGAGTGTTGTAGGTGATGTGATGGTGGTGGAATGTGTTGGGGAAGACGGACTACCACACACACACACACACAGAGAGAGAGAGAGAGAGATACTGACAGCTGGATACATCAGGAGATCGACATCAGACCCTACTGCGAATACCGCCTCCCGGACGAGATCCTCAATACCATCCGCTTTCTTTTTACTGCGCTGATAGTGGTCTGCTTGTTGAGTGCGCTCCGTGAGATTAGGGAGGAGCTGCGGATTGGGGATATGGATTGAACAATCGAGGAGATGATGATCATGGGTACTCGTTGGGTTGACGGCGGCGGCGAACTTAACACCAAGAGGAAGGATCTTAGAGCTGCTTACAGGAGGAGTGGACTGTGGAGGGAGGAGATTCAGTTATGATTATGGTGAGGGGGGAACTTGGCTTCGAGGGTTCTACCGCTGTGGATGCAACATGTCGCTCCGTATGGTCGCAGCTTGGGAGACGATGGATTTCTCAACATAGCTGGCATTGCTAGCTAGCATTCCTCGCTTTGTAGGAATCCTTCAGCAAAAACCCATGTTCCATCATCCCAGACTCTCACATCCTGCTTCATGTTTGGAAGAGATCTAGCTGCAAAAGTGCGCCGTGAGCCAGCCACACGCTGCCAAAGTTTCCCTGCCAGAGGCCAAAGAGAACCGGCTGGGAATCGGCTTGCCATTTAAAGGCTCCGTGTGCCCTGGTATCTCAGAGAGATGGCCGTGCATGGGGCTTGAATCTTTCCTGAGGAATTCTTTGAGGCCAATTCGGCAGTTCCAGCGGTGCTCTCCAGGCCGGTAGATTCTCCCTGCGTATAACCAACCATCTTTGCCTTCTCGCCGTCAATAGCTTCCTTCATTAGCTTTATGAACGATTGCTTTGCACGAGGTTGCCCATTTCCATTAACCTGGGCAGGATTGTCGTACACATTTGAATGGAACTTTTGAATGACTTCACGACGTCGTTCCTTTGGCTCGAGGATCTTTATCTCTCCGTCCAGCCTGGATTGAACTATTATTGATCGGACTTGAGCGTCTCTTTGGGATGAGACGAGATAGAGCCTTGAGTATCAGCGTATCGGTGATGGCATCTTGTGCTATCTTCACGTCCAATCCCGCGGATTTCACAGCAATCTCAGCCTCCTGGAGGTTTTCAAACTCCCGGGAATTCTTCGCCAGATCCAGATCAAAGTACATAAATCTTCCGGCGTCTCGGCAGGCCTCAACATCTGCCAACCTACGAATTCCTTGTATGCGGCGTCATACTCGCCTCGTTGACGCTTGAAATAGCCTTATCTCGCTCCTGGTTCCAGTGCTCAGGTTCGAGACATCCAAACCATGTTGTCAACTGATCTTGTTGCTCTGGATCTCCCTCAAGTTCGAATTTTCGTGTGGTCCCATAATTCTCCATAAGTGTGGGCTTCGCTGTACTGGCAGTATCCCGAAATTCGTCAAGGATATTTCTATTGCGCTGTGAATAGTCTCCAAATTATTTGCCACCTCCATAGCTGAGTATAGAATGTCTGCTAGCATCCCGGTGAAAACTGCGAGGAAAACATAGTATCAGCACATTGGGGATCGTCCAGGACACTAGGGCCAAGGCTGCTCGGATGTGAGGCCCTGGCCCCCTCACCGATAAGTTTATCGTGAAGATCTGCCTGTGACTGCAAGTGTTCACGGAGAAGTTCCTCTTCGCCTGGCGTTGTACTCGGGCTGCCTTCATCACAGGGTGCCTCTCGGATCGGCCGAGCTCTTGAGGGTATCGTTGGCGGTGCCGCGGTGCGATCACTTGCACCTTGGAGGCGTATAGTAAGATCCTCGAGATCAAGTATCGGGTTCACTGAGCGTTCGGCGGCTATCATTCTACTAGATTGTTACTGAAAGCGTGCCATACGATACAAAGGAGCAGGAACTTGCCTCAGGCGCTTGAACAGCCCTTCGTCGCTCACCAGAGCATCAGGGTCTCCTACGACAGCTTGACTGCGCGAGTTTAGCAGCCGTATCGACTATAGTACCCATGATCTATTGAGCTTGAACATTTAGTTGCCCTCACGTTGTTTCCAGGCTCTGCGTCGCTATACTCCACGAGGTCCCGGGTGAACAATGATGGTCGAGATGGAGACGGAGCCGGAGGACGGAAGTACGGAGAGGCGGCCATCATCGATGATGGTGATGATTATTTTGAGTGTGGACAAGCAGGCAGTTAGTCTGAAACCTGTAGGTAGGATAGGTATGAAAGGAAATGAAGTCGGGGTTGGGCTGTCTCGCGGCGCAGCAGCAAATGGGCACATTTATACGAGTATTCGGTGCCTCATGGAAGGGAACCAGGTAAATGGATTACAGCAGAGGAAAAGAAAGCCTTGGTCGCGCAAGAATCCACATGATTCAAAGTGATATATAGCAAAGGCCTCAAACACACAGCGCTCCTCTGACGCATGCAAGCCGTAGCATCTTGCGCTGATAATATTTTGTAAACAAAAACGCAAATAAGTGTATATCACTGAAAGCATAAAAAGATCCCGCTGTTCTTTCAGGACCCTAGAAAAAAGCATTTGTTCCATCCAGATCCGCCCAGTCAGCATCCATCCATCCATTCACTTCCTCCCCCTTCCCTCCGCCCTCTCCTACTCCCGACGAAATCCCGATAACAACCTCACAATACAGAACACCTCGAGCCTGGTATCAAAACCCACAACTCAAGCTGTCGAAGTCAACTCAACTTCGATTTCTGCTGAATAAGTGACTAACAGCAAAAACAGACTTGCCAAACAGGACTGACATCAACTTGCTACACCCACTTGCTTCTTGGCCTTGCTGAAGAGACTCACCAGAAAAACAGAAAAACACGCAAAAACATTCAGAAAAATCATCAAAGACAAAAAAATGTACTAGTACTTGCTCATAAGTAAGTTACAAATCCCAGCTTCGGCAGCTTGAGTTATTTTTTTTTTCTTCTATTTTTTCCCTCTCTTTTTTTATTTTTTTTATTTTTTATTTTTTCTTTTTTGGCGCGCGCGCTTTCTCGCTTAACGGTCGGTGCAGCAACTGACGCCGGAAGGTACGGGGATAAAACATCCATCTGGGCTCAGCGGGCGGCGGGAGAGGCCGGGGCTCGACGCCCGTCCATAACGTCCGCAGAGGCAAGAGACTTGATAGAGGACAGAATCGGACTGAGGCTATATATACCGTACGACCGCCAAAGTCATGGGTTGAATACTTAGTAATCCCCTCCGGCTTCGCAGAATGGGGGCTTTTTTTTTACATGGAAACCATTGCGTTTGCAAGTGCGTTGATATTGCACACTACGGTTTATTAAACAGACCGGCTCCAGGTGCTGAGAATTGGAGACGGTGGGCGGGATGTACCGGGTGGTGTGCAGATATACAGCTCAAGAATGCATCTTATTAGGGCGGGAGGTTGGGAGGAAGATGGCGGAGAAAATACCAAGCAAGCATGCATACGTTCCGTTTGGCACAGCAGGAATTGCTTGAGGTTGGAAGTGATATACATGGAGGATCTATGTAAGTATACAAGCAAGGCAAGTAACGCGAGCGCGAGACAAGAAGCATTAAAAACAACAGGCATAGAGAGCAACAGTGAGTAAGTGGGTATTGGCGAGACGAGAACGGAAAGGAATTATATGAAATTTAATCTCCGTTTGAGAGGGGCGCTGTCTATCTACAAAACGAGCAACCAACCAACCAACCAAAAAGCAGTTGCGAATGGTACAAGTCCCGAACGCCAACTTCCCATATCCCAATTTCATCAATGCTTACGTCAATCATCACCCTCCCTCTCCAGCAATCTAGGTCACTCCCCATTTTCCATTCAGTTTTCTTATTCTTCGTTCCCCATTATCAAGGGTAGAGATCTATGTCTCGATCCTCCTCACCCCCGGTACGCCCATCCCGACTGCCCCTTTCCTATCGCCGAAATTATGCAAGCGCTCCCCAATCAGATAAACCTCATCGCGGATCTTCATCCTCCAATCCTTCACCCATCCGAACAACACCCACCACGCATAGCCAATCGCGCACATACAAAGACACATTGGGTACGCATACCGATAAGCCAGTGTATGTAGTTCTGGGTTATCCTTCAGTACAGTGTTCGTCGCCAATCGTGCTAACAACCATGGATACCACAGAGCAAAGCTGAGGGCGAAGGTGGCAGGCAGGATGAAGCTTCGGGTGGCGAGTCGCGCGTCAGGATCGAGGTAACCATTACGTGTGACAGCGCGCAAGGACTGCGCGGGACGGGAGTCGGTGTGCCAGAGGATGAGACGAGTGGCGAGTTTCACGTACAGCAAGCCGAGCGTCCAGGACTGCACGAAATGCATGGTGTGGCGCTCATCGAGTGCGGAATAGGTGTGCAGGGGCACGATGAAGTAGAATTCGACGACGAAGGAGAAGAGAGTGGGGAGGAGGAAGATGAATGCTGTGTAGGTCCACGCTACACGGCCCACTCGTGAAGCGATAGCGGTGATGCGACGAATCACATTGTGAGGTGTGTCGGTATTGATGGTGAGGGTGGTGCGGAGGTAGCTGACAAAGGTTCTGAGATGGAGGATGGCGTAAAGAGCTGAGCCGAGGATGTAGATGCCGATTGAAAAGGCGTATACGTCGTTTTTGCGGACATGTGCTGGAATTATCTTGGCGAAGACTTGACGACCGAAGACCAGAGGGAGGATGGTGACGGAAACTCCGGTGAGAGCTGCGAAGAGCCAGATGGAGATTATAAAGAGCAGAATCCGTGTGCGGAACCAAGGAGGAATATAGACCTGCTTGTAGAGATCTGTTTTTGATCCATGAGGTCCATCTGGAAGGTCCTTCTTGCCGTCGATCCGATTATTCGATTGGTCAACTTCAAGAAAGGGAGCGGTACCCTTGGGAATTCGCACCTGATCAGATGCTGGCGCTCTGACATATCGTCCATCCAAGCGGAAGTAGGCTGTCAATTCGGGACTTTCCACAAATGGGCGGTCCACGTTATCAGTCTTGATGAGGGGGACGTCTTTCTCGTTGGCTTTCCGGAAGATGTCCATCCAACTCTTGTGTACCATGTAGCCTTCCTCATCCCGCCTCCGTTCATCGAACATGAACCAGGTGAGTCGAAGCATCCGCGCACATTGGCGGAACCACCAGGTGTACATAGCATGCAAGCCATCCGAGGGCTTAAAGAATTTGACTGCGAGAGGCATGAAGAAATTATAAAAGAGAAGATCAATGGGGAATTCGAGAACAGGTTCGTTAGATGACCAGTGGATTGGGAGTACGCCTTTGAATGCGTATGCCAGTCCCCACACAACGCCCCCCAAACAAACGACAACCAATCCGCCGTAAACCAGAGCGCTGAATAGGATTTTCCGAAGTTGGGTTGCCACATTGCGTTCCAAGACGTCGCGTACAGGGTGGAATGTCGGATCATCCGGATCGCGGATGAAGTCTGAAAATGTTAGTAGTAATCCATCATTGGCTTCGAGTAAAACGTACAAAGTACTCCCTTCCGCATGATTCTCCGACACATCGAAACGAAGAGAGCAAAGTGGAACATGTAGCAAGTCCCAACGAACCAATGTACAAAGATCGAAGTCAAAGGAGATCTGAATGTGAAGAGGATGCGCGACATGATCGTGGCATCTTCGAATAGTGGGAGAAGGGCAGCGTCTAGGAGGAGGCCGCAGTAGAGTGGGAAAACGAGCATCTCAATGCTAATGATGAGAATCACCTTCATAACACCACCGGCCTGGTTGAGGAAATCGATGAGAAGCGCTTCCCATTCGCGTCCGTTTTGCCCATTTGAAAATGGGGAGCCTTTCTTGACGTAAAGCGCGCCCAGAAGGCAGAGAGCACTGTAGCCTGCGAAGATTGCCCAGAATCGATCCGTGGCTCCCCAGACGCTCAGCCCAACGTCTAGAGGGGTAGCTCGCTTTCCAATTTCGAGGCTGATTACCCAGGACTCGGGCTTTGCAAGAAGTCCTGGTACCGAGGCAAGCAAAAGCCACCCGTATTGGAAACTCTCGGCCAAGAAGTCCGATGTACCTCTCAAAGTCACACTATAGTCACCTGTGAATGTATAGATGACCGTGCTGCCGATGCTGGCCATCGTATTGAAGACGAAATATCTTATCGATATCAGGGATTCGTGAGAGGCAGCGGAGAAAGGCACAATTTCGGAATCGAAAATTTCGAAAAGACTGCTTGTCGTGACATTTAGGATGCGACCAGCTGCATTGCGAGAAAGGTTAAGGACAGTCGAGCCGAGCCCATAGTCTTTGCTGGCAGTGGACGAAAACAACTTGAAGGGCGCAGAGATCATCCAAAGAGCGACGTATATCATCAATCCGACCGCTGAGACGGCAAAATCCTGCAATAACGCGGCGAATCCAAAGAGGTATCTCAAAGGGAGCTTAACAGCGGGCCCAGGGTTTGCTGCAACTAGAAGCGACACTCGCCCGATATTGTATGGAATCCAGATTCCAATTGCCACAGTCAAGGCCAAGAGGAACGCACTGAACAACGCATTTTGTACCAGGCTGAATATTGGGCCACGCATGCCAATTAATTCCATTATACCCTCGAAGTCCTCGGCCTCTTCGATTGCATCAGGATCATTGGGATCCAAGCCTGCAGCGATCGCGGCGTCTACTACAGCCTGGTCTGGCTCTGCGAAACCGGCATCCTGTTCGAGAACATCATGATGGTGAACTGGGACGAAAGGAGCCTCGGCCGCCAAGTCTTGTACGATGTGCTCGTCGTTGTCGCCTAAATCCTCGTGGATAATGCCTTCACCCACACCACCCCATAGGTACTCTGCGATATTCGCTAATAATCCCTGACCTTCCGCAGGGCGTGCCACTACAGGTCCGCGAGCTACGGGTAGAGGCGTGTCGGGTTGGAGGGGGTTAAAATTTGCATTTGCCAACCCTGCCTCAAAATCTGAGTCTGTGTCAACGGGGTTCGCGTCAAAAACTTCATCCCAATTTTCATAGGTGCGTGTTACGCCGTCCTGATGAAGAATCTCGATAGGGCCCTCCGCATCGGCATCTTCCTGTGCAGAGGGGGAGGCAGGAAGAAAATGTTGAGCTACGTTGTTTCTTTGAACTTCTCTGGCTCTCTCGACGGTTTGCTGAACACGGAGATCTTGCGCAGCCTTCCAAGCTTGGCTACCCTGGTCTGAAGCTCCAACGAAGGCCTGGTTTGTTTCTTTAGTCACGAGTGCAGAAGCCTCTTGCAAGTCAGGCTCGGGATTTTGAGATTCACAGCTCCGTTCTAACCCTGAGCTGGCTTTGTCACCATCTTCATCGTTGGAGGCAAGGTTCGAGAAGGTCCAACTGCCATGGGCCAAGGGAGATATGACATCCCGACGCTGAGGCCCATCAGATACTGCTCTAGGTCTGGACGAACTCGCAAGAGCACTGGGGTCTGAATGGATCGTAGAAAGAGCGGAGGATTCTATTGAATCAACTTTGTGTTCCAAGCCGGGGCTCGGTCCATCTCGCCCTTTCAATCTCGGAGAAGAGCCGTTTTCGAAATCCTCTTGAGGTGTGATGTGTAGTTGAGGCTCTATAGTCACCTCCTCAATATTCTTTCCTTTTCCTTTGTATGGGGTAGAGCCGGCATCAGTTGTGGTAAATTTCTGTTCGTCTTGAACTTGCAGGCTAAGCATTTCAACACCCCCCCAACTCTCTGAGCTAGTTCTGCTTCTATTACTGCTCTGTGGTTTCTTCTCGTTTCCGTTTCCGGTGCCCAAGACAGATTGAGCCGTTGAGGAGTGAGATTTGGTGCTGGAAGCCCCACCTACTGTAGCAGATTGGGAAGGCGAAGAGGTTGGAGGTATAAGCGTTTGAGGTGCACGAAGCCCAGCTTCTTGGTTCTCGGGGTTAGTTAGGACCTTCATAGCATTAACCCAATAGCGCATTTGATCGACCTTATTCTCTCTCTCGATGATGCGTAAAACCTCGTCTGGACTACCATCAGCTCTCCTCCAGACAGCAAGAAATTCTTCCGTCATTCTGGGCTCTTCTGTCATGAACCGTTGAATCTCTGCCGCGGGAGAAAGAGCATCGCGAACTGGTGCAGGTCGATGTTGCGAATCTAAAGCTTCAGCCATGTGCCCCAAGCTCTCCATCAGCTCAGCAGCGTCCTGGGGTCGCTCGGGAGCATCGTTCAAGTGGTTGTGTCTCCGGCGTACTCGGGCCATCGGGCGTCTTCCAGGTTCACGTACACGGTCGTGGGCGTCCTCAAGCGGGTTCTCGTCGTCAGCATCGTTTCCATCATCATGATCTGGCTCGCGCGCTGGCAGTTGCTCTCGGCCCCTTGCGGGAGCAGCGAATTCTGCGTTAAAACCAGCACCCATGTTGATACCCGGTTGTTGCTGGACGACCCACTCCCGAATCAAGAATACTAGAATGAAACATACCACAACCAAGATCGTAATGATATAGCCTTCAGCTATAGCAATGACAAGCTGGTTGATGGATGGGTGCCTCGTCAGGTTTACCAGAAATCCAACATCACTCAACAGCGACGGCTTGAGAGATGAGAGGGATTGATTTGCCAAGGACTGTGACGAAGTTGTGTTTGCGATAGCTTTCGCTGATACATCACCGCCCTGGGTTCCAAATCCGTAATACAGAGACTTGAGAAAGCCGACTGCCAGGGGGTCCAGGGCACTGATGTTCAGGGTTTGGGACATCGGCATCAGAAGCCCAAAGAATTTCACGACCAGATTTCCCACACTGACAGACGTAGTCTGGGGGTCCTGCAGGGGAGTGACCGGAGAGGTTCCGTTCCCGGCTAGACTTGCGAGCTTCTGTAGTTCTCCGGCCATATCCAGTGCTTGTGTATTTGTCTCATTACTGATCGAAGTGAGTGGTGGGTAGTCCGCTGGCCATCCTCCATCACTGATCCAAAATAGCAGCCGCCAGACTTGTCTGATAACGTACGGCAGGCATCCGAGCCAGACATTTGTTACTAGACAGAACCTTAGCCAGGTCGCAACGTTCCTAGCCGAATGTATAGCGACGTGCCGCAGAAGGACAGGCCATGGTAGTGATTTTGGCATGTTCGGGGAGTAGAGCTTGGTGAATCGGAATGCGGTTTTGCAAAGCTCGCAATGCTTCTTCTGCGAATGCGACAGCCACTCCATCAAACAGTCCTGGTGAACGTGCTTGATGCTCCCACTACATTTGCAAGGATGGAACAGAGGTTCCGTAGCTGTGCCCTCTGATCGGCATATCCTGCAAGTGTCTGCCTCCCCCAGTCCATCTTCGCTGTCTCTGTCTCGGTGGTTGGTGGCGTATTGGGGGTCGTTCATGACATCGGGCGGTGGCACTGGGTTGGGATGGAGATCCGCCATCGTGGAAGGGTGTTGCGAGAATGGAGAGGAAGAAGGTATCGGGGGTACAGGGCGGTATCAGGTCGAGATATTGTTTCTAGGCAAAGCCTCGCGGTTGTCGACGTCGAAACCCCATACAGATAGATGGTGTGGGCGTTCTCAGTTCCTGTGGAATCAGCGGCTCTGGCTTATAGTTTCGGAAAAACGCTCTTCGCTCTAGAATTTTCGGCAAAATCGCGTAGATGCTAAGATGTTCGTGGTGAATATGGAAATAGCTCAACGAATGTCTGAAATGGCTGGAGTGGTTGTATGTTTTATTTTGTATTTTGGTTTGGTTTGGGGATGGGATGCGTCTTTCTCTGAAGGGGAGTTGTCACCTTGAAGTCGCCGCTCTATGGAGACGGCTCTAGGCGGGCTCGGCCTCGCATCGATCGGCTTCTTGGAATTCTTGCATGTGGCTGGCTGGGCACGTGACACCTAGCCTGACACTTCATAGCAGCATCTCTTTTATGGAGTAAACGAATCCTCAGTACAGTATTAGCAGGGTTGAAAGAGTTTCTCGGGATGCTTATGGAATGCAGACCGGGGCTTGAGGCATAAACACCTAGCTAGCATCTGATTATGTATACTGTCCATAAGCTAATATATCGATTAACATACATATCTCGTTGTTGTTGTTGCTGTTGCTGTTGTTGTTTTTGCTCTTTTCATTATAAGTGTTCCCGCTTTTCAAGCCATCCATCCAGTTGCAGTCCAATCCAATCCAATCCAATTCAGTCCAGTCCAGTCTTCGTCTTGATACGTACACGGGAGTGCCTGAGCCCTAACGACATACCGGTAGAGATTAAGCGCCAAGCAATGACGTTTTGATCAGAATAACTTAAAGTTCCCGCGTTTACGCGCTAAAAACACCTCGGTCCCGTTAAGAGAAGCTTGTGTGATAGATAATACATCTGGACATCTCCATATCTTCACATCTTCACTGCACAATAAATACGTCTAGACTCTCTACAAAGTGGAGTCTTTCTTCCAGATGAGTCCATCCGACAGTCCAGTTCTGCAATAAAAATAACAAGACTGTCCGGCAAGCGTGTCCAACAGCAAAGCAGGACTTGGTCACCTCGCACCACAGCAATCCCTGGTCCAAGCTCGAACTACCGCTACCTTACCCTCCGTACACTATCAAAGCACTAAAGCCAACGTCCGATCTTCTCTCAACCAGCAACACCTCGAAAAGTTTAATCCTCCTCGTGCGCTTGATGCTTGAATAAAAATGGCCACGGACAGCAACGGACAGGCCATCAAGCCTAGTCAAAAGGGGATGAACGGGCATGCAAAAACCCCAAGATCAAAGGCAGCCCCAACGAAGAAGAGCTTCAGCCTAATCAGCATAATCTCCAGGTACGGATATCTTACCTTCGGATCAGGGCTATTCTAACAGTGAGTGCACTGGCAGGATTCTTACCTGGTACTCCATCATCACCATCTTTTTTCGATGCCCTTCGACCGTCGACCTCCTCACAGACTCCTCCCCCAAGATCTGCAAACCATACTTCCAGTTGCGCTCTGTGGTTGCGCCTCATGTCGAGCCCTACTACAATAATTATGCCGCTCACTATGTTGATGCTGCCCGGCCATACTACGACTCGTTCGATAAGAAATTCATTTCTCCTGCGAAGGCTCTGAGCCAGAAATACGGCGCCCCCCGTGTGGCACAAGCACAAGCCTTCGGTCAAGCTCAATGGGAGAAGAACCTACAACCGGAAGTTCAGAAGTATCAAGCTATCCTGAAGGAAAAGTACGAGCAGAACTTAAGTCAGCACGTCAATACCGCTATTACAGTCACGAGCCCGTACTACGAGATCGCGAAGACCAGTGCGCTACAGACCTACTACGAGCTCATCCTCCCAACCTACACTGCTGTACAGCCATATGCTATTCAGGGCTACGGTTTGGCCAACAATTTCGCTCTTAACACCGCCTTGCCATACTCGAAATTGGCATGGACAACTGGTGTACTCTTTCTGGACCGCACCGTCTGGCCGCAAATCCGGATCCTGTACGGAGAGAATGTTGAGCCCCAATTGGTCAGGATTCGTGAGCGCTTGGGTAGATATCGCGATGGCAAGAAGTTGAAGGCAGTTGTTGAAGACCTTGATAGCTCTACTTCCGCCTCTGCTGCCTCCGCGACATTATCATCCATCTCCTCCTCACTCTCCTCGGTGCACGTATCCCCTACTACCGAGACTAGTTCGACCGAGACCACTGCCTCGTCATCCGAAGCCCCTGTTGCCACTCCGCCATCAGAGAAGGACGTTCGCGAGAAGGCCCAGGAAATTGTGGCTCACGATCTCAAGGAATGGCAAGGAAAGTTCGCCAAGGCCGCTGATGAGGGATCGGAAGACCTCGAGGAGAGAATCACCGAACTCAGCAACCGAATGATCGAGAGCCAGGTGGAAGGCGTGGGTGCCGCATTGATCGTTCAATTGGAAGAGACGATTGGCGCCAGCCTCAAAACCTTAAAGAGTCGTATCGTCTCCATTGTTAGCAGCTCCAAGAATGCCGAGGAGTCTGAAGATGAGCTCAACACTGCCGTGCGCAAAGCTGGTCTTGCTATCAAAGAAAAGGCACAGGCTGTGAGAACCTGGAAACAGAACTACGACCGAGAGGTCAACGAGCTCGTGAGTTTAGCGGCACACGATACATTTGAGATTCTCGACCACATTAGGGATCTGGGATTACAGGAGATAGGTATGCGATGGGCCTGGACCGATGGAATCACCCACAAGGACTGGAGCAAGTACCATACGCTGAAAACAAAGTTTGATGAGTGGCGACACGACGTCGAGAAAGTTGCTACTGGTCACCCAGGTCAGTTTTGTTGTTCACTGCTCAAAATTCCTTCATTTCAATGGCATTCTTAGCGATTGATACTAACATGTTAAAAAGGCCCTGCAAAGGCTCACGCTGCAGCAGCAGATGTTGCAGATAAGGCCATGGAAATCGCTGGATATGCTGCCACAGAATTGGCCCGCCTCAAGGAGAGTGGCCGCTGGAAGATTTCGGCCTCTGATTCGAGTGACGACTTCAGCACAAAGTACATGCCGGCTCCAGTTCAAGTAGTGATCCAGAAAGTCGCTGAGAAGGCCAGTGATATCAAGGAGGCCGTGTCTCCGTCCTCCCAAGGTACCATCGAATCAGTGGCCTCTGTTGCCAGTTCTTCGGTCGCCGAAGCTATGGCATCTGCTCAAAGTGCAGTTTCTTCCATCTCAGCCAGTGTCGTAGGAACTCCTCACGGAAGCGTCGAAAGCGTAATCTCTGTTGGAAGTGCGAGCGTCAGCAGTCTTGCCGATAAAGCATCGAGTTCCATCATTGGCACCAAGCAAGCTACTGCTGAGAGTTTTGCATCTGTCGCACAGGCTTCGGCTAGTAGTTTCATTGATCAGGCATCAAGCTCCATCATTGGAACACCACAGGTGAGCATACCGGTCCCATGGTTTTAAAATACTTTGGATTGGAATTGGGATCGTTCCTTACAACAAGATATCCTAGGTGATGTGAACATCGCCGATGGTTTCTGTAACATTGAAAGTGATTCTAACGTACCAAAATAGGGAAGTGTTGAGAGCATTGTCGCGGCTGCTGGTGAGAGTGCAAGCAGTCTATCGGCCAAGGCTTCCTCGTCTATCGTTGGTAAGGAGCCAGGCATTATGGAGGAAGCCTCCGAGAGCGTCAAGCTCGCTGCTTCTATCGCTTCGGAATCTGCTTCGAGTCTCTCGGTTATTGCAAGCTCGTCGGTTTCATCAGTCATTAGCAAGGCATCCAAGATAGCAGCCCAGGCTTCTAGCTCTCTTAGCTCCGTGACTTCGTCGGTTGCAAGCTCATTGTCCAGAAGCTCTTCGGAGACTCCCAGCTTCCTTAGCTCGGCTGTCTCATCCGCATCCAGTGCCGACTCGAAAAAGGTTTGGGGAGGAGCTATGGCAGCAAATGTGGTAGCCCAACAAATCATTTTCGATGACTTTGTTGACTCGGATGACGCTACTTTGTAAGTTTTTTTTCATTCTCCCAAAAGCTCTTTTGACAGGCGGACTGACCGTGATTTAGTAACGAGAAGATCCAAAGTATTGCTAGTCAAGCCGGCGACAGATATGACGAAATTACGAAGGCTGTAAGCAAGGCGTTTATGCCTACGAGCACGAACAACCCGGTCACCAAGATGGCTGCAGATAAGTACGCCAGTGCTCTTTCGGCAGCTAGTGTTGCGCTTTATGGCACAGAACAAGGCACGGGGGAGAGTATCTCCAGTGTTGTTGCCAGTCGTTACGACGATGCCGTTGCTGCGTAAGTCGACTTCTTGCTCTAATTTCGTCTGCATTGTCCCAGTGCTAAAGAGTACATAATTTTAGAGCAAGTGCAGTCATATATGGAACCCCGATGCCGATCACGGACTCGATCGCTGCCCAGGCTACAAGTGCATACAACGCTGCGGTTTCTGGAGCCAATGAGAAATACAGTGCTGCTCAGAGTCTCGTTTCCGCACAGATAGCTGGGGAGCCTAAGCCTGCCCACGGTATGTATTCGGTGTTCCCGGTCTGATGAGGACGCACTTCTCGACTGAATGGGTTCCTATCCGCATTCTGAATGCTCCGGGCTCCCTAAAAACATTGCTGACTCTGATCCAGAAACTATACTGAGCTCCATAAAGTCCGCATATTCGGACAACTTGGAAGCACTTGGCTCTCGCTTGCAAGCCTCTATATCAGCCGGCTCTACAGCTGTGTATGGCACATCCACGCCCGCGTATCAGTCAATCCTGTCATCAATCTCGTCAGTAGCCCAGGCGAAGTTGTCGGAAGGTGTAAATGCCGCTTCGGCTAGGTATGCGGATGGAAAGGCCTATGTCGCTGCTATTCCGACTCCTGCGCCAGCTAAGCAAAAGCTCCTCGGGCAGATGCAGGATCAATACTATGCTGGTATAGGTACGATTTCCCGACTGTCCGAATTTGTCTCTGTAATTTAGAGCATCATTTACTCATACATAACCCACAGGTATGGCCTATGCCCGATACTCCGAGTTCATGGACTCGGCTTCCTCGGCTATTATGCCTACACAGACCCCGGTATACGAAAGCCTTTACTCTGGCGCTAGTGAGGTACGTAACGAGGGGGCAGATTATTTCTTGATTTCAAGTATTCTAGACAAAAGGACATTTCTAACCTCGGTAATTTATAGAAAATCATGGGCACTTCTACTCACCAATTCCAAGCCACCTTAAATACTGCCTTGGGGCATTATCACGCAGCTACTGAAGCCGCTTCTTCAAAATTTGGGGACCTTCTCGCATCAATCTCCAGCATTGGGAGGGACGCAAAAGTTGCGGTCCCTACGGTCGACCTCCTCTCCGCAGCATCGGCGCAGTACTCATCGGCTGTCAGTGAAGCTGCAAAGTCCTTTGCATCGATCAACTCGGTAATATCGGAGAAGCTAGAACGTATGTGAAGGGGATCCTCTAAATTTCTTATCACCGTTGTCCCAGAATATGCAGGAACCTTTTATTTCGTCTGAAAGATTGATCACGATTTGCTGACCCCCATACCCTACAGTTGGTTCTGCTGCCGCATCAGCCGCCGTCTATGGTAGTGAGACCCCCTGGACTGAGTCTGTTGCATCAGCTGCAAGCGAGAACTGGGAGGCCCTCATCACTAAAGCGAGCACTCAAATATATGGTGCTCCGACGCCGTATTTCATTTCTAGAAGACTTCTTTCTGAGGTTAAGGAATACGCTGCCCAGGCCACAGATGGAGCCATGTCTCAGTATTCTGCCGTGCAATCGCTTATCGGAGAGCTCGTCGCTGGCAAGGAGCCGGACTTCACTGAGAGTGTTTACAATCGCTTGAGCTCTGCCTACTATACAGATGCTGCTCAAGTAGTCTCGTCCGCGTCTTCATTCGCCAGCGACGCCTACGCATCTGCCAGCTCCGTCGTAAGCTCCGTCTTCATACCGCCTCCAGCGCTCGAGGCCGTTCTGGACTCTGCTGCCCTTCGCGTCAACGAGGCTGTCGAAGCCGCTAGCGCGCAAATGTACGGAACCAAGAGAGGCAAGTACGAAGAAGCCACCTCGAGCGCTGCGTCTGCCTACAGCTCAGCTCAAATTGTAGCCTCCGAGGTAAGAATGCATATCTCGACTCTGATTGCCCCATGATGTTTGAGGACTGAAGCCTCTTCTTTGAGGCAATTACTGACCGCGCCTTACAGAAAATCTACGGCACCAGTACCGGCTATGTCGAAGCAGCCCAATCCTCCATATCCGACGCCGCGGCCTCTGCTCAACAAGCCATCCTTGACGCCATCTACGGCACTCAAACAGGCTCCTACGAACAAGCTACCAACGCCGCAGCCGAGGCTTACGCTTCTGCCACCTTAAAGGCCTCCGAGGCCATTTACGGCACTCAAACCGGCGCCTACGAAAGCATGTCCAGCGCAGCCGCTTCGGCCTACGCTTCCGCCACGGCCGCAGCCAGCGAAGCCATTTACGGGCCTGAGAAAGGCGCAATTGAGAGTGCTCAAAGTCGTTTGGCATCTGCGGTTGAGTCTGCGCGCGTCAAGCTGGCCGAGTTTGCGAGCTCGGCCGGGGATGGTGCGGCGGAGGCAGTGAAGCAGGCGAGTGAGGGGGTAGAGGATTTTGCGAGCAGCGTTAGTAGCGTGATCAGCAGCGCTACTTCGCATGATGAACTGTGATGAATAATGAATAATAATTTGCGGCGACTGCCCAGACGAGGGTTTAATTCGGGAAGAGGGAACGTTTGAAACGGGTAGATGTTGGGATGAAGGAAATGTGTGCATAAAATTGCATTTTGCGCAGCTGATGCGAGCATCTTTCCTTTTGCATCTTGATTGCAAATTATGTGGTCTATTATGAGCATAATGAATGGATGAACAGGTAGGACAGGCTGGTTGGCTGGTTGATTGGTCGGACCTGGTTGGGAGGTTTAGGTTGGGCTTGAATGTGTTTGCTCCATGAACTTTTTCTTTCTTTCTTTTATTCCTGGCTGCTTTTGACTTGTAAGATGAATGTCGTTACGATAATTTCAAGCCTTATGTGGAACCTTTTTCA